ACTCCCGTGCTGCCCGTACCCCCAGACTACCCGTGCTCTCCTCCCCAGTTCCAGCAGCCCAGCCGCTGGAGTTCGCCCAGTTCCCCTTCTACCTGAGCGGTCTGCGTCGCACGGCCGACTTCGTGGAGGCGATTGAGAGTGTGCGGGCCATCTGCCGGGAGGCTGCCCAGCGCCACGGGGTGCTGAGCTACCCCAGCGGCTACCCCTTCCTCTTCTGGGAGCAGTACTTCGGCCTGCGCCACTGGTTCCTGCTGGCCATCAGCATCCTGCTGGCCTGCACCTTCCTCGTCTGCGCCTTGCTGCTGCTCAACCCCTGGACGGCCGGCATCATCGTGAGTACACACCCCGATGCGTGGGGATGGGGGGGTGACCGGCTGTGCTGCCCTCCTGATGGATGGGGACAGGGACATCCAGCCCTGCTCCCATCCTGCTGGTACCTGCTTCATGGGAATGGGGTAGTCAGGTGCACCCTGGGTGGAACGGACACCCATATGGAGGTGGCAGTGGGTGGGGGACACCTGTGCGAAGGGATCGAGGACATCACTCATGAAGGGAACATATGGAAAGGACTGGAGTCTGGGGACATCCATGCAGAAGAGAGTGAGGGGAACACACGTATGCAGGTGACAGTGAGTGGCGGACCCATATGGAGGGATCAGGGACACACCTTACGAAGGGAACGTGTAGTGGACAGGAGTCTGGGGACATCCATGCAGAGGAGGGTGAGGGCCACCGCCAATAGATGGGACAGAGGGACACCCTAAACAGAGGGAAAAGGGGCAAAGAGGTGAGGCTGCCCTATAGGGAGGGGTAGGATCAGGCATGCCAGGCAGAGGGACAGAGGGGACAGCTGGTCAGAGCCACCCCTTACTGACCTCATTGTCCCCCAGGTCTCCATCCTGGCCATGATGGCAGTGGAGCTGTTTGGCATCATGGGGCTTATGGGCATCAAGCTAAGCGCCATCCCCGTGGTCATCCTTATCGCCTCAGTGGGCATCGGTGTGGAGTTCACCGTCCACGTGGCTTTGGTGAGCACAGGCAGACCCCTGCCCAGCCATGGGGCACCCCAGTTCCCACTCCCTGGCACCCTCACCCCCTTGGCCACATCATGAGTGGCACATGGGGACGAGTCCAACATGACATCCCCATTTCATGCAGGGCTTCCTGACGGCTGCGGGGAGCAGGAATGTGCGCTCGGCCGCAGCACTGGAGCACACCTTTGCCCCCGTGATGGACGGTGCCATCTCCACCCTCCTGGGAGTCCTCATGTTGGCTGGCTCTGAGTTTGACTTCATCATGAGGTGAGTACTAGAGGGGGATAAACCAGCTGCTTGCTGCTCCCCAAAAGCTTTGGCAATGGGGGCTGGTGAGCATGGCAGCCCCCCTGGCTGGCGGTGGGGATGTGGGGCAGCTGGAGAGGATGTGTCTTGCTGGGGGCACCCGCCCCATCTTGCGTGGAGGCTGGGGAGACATGGGGGTCTGGGGTGCGTGGTGTGGAAAGCCATGTTTGGGGTGGGACTGGGTTCACGGGGGCCATGCTCGCTTACTCCCTCTGCCTGCGCCCCCCCCAGGTACTTCTTTGCAGTGCTTACCATCCTGACGCTGCTGGGGCTGCTCAATGGGCTGGTGCTGCTGCCCGTCCTGCTCTCTGTCATTGGGCCACCCCCTGAGGTATGAAACCCCTGTCCTGCTTCTCCCTGTCCCTCCCCCACCCCGTACCCACCTCTCTTCATCCCCCATTGCCCCTCACCGTGTCTCCATTTCACCCTATACCCATTCTCGCCTTGTCCAGTCCCAATCTCACCCTGTACCCACCTCAGCCCACCCCTCACCCTGTACCATCCCTGCTTTACCCCATCCTTTCTCTGCCCCATATCCAATGTGCCCCATACCTGCATGACCCCACTCCTGCCTCACCCCGCATGGGACTACCCCCATCCCTCCCTGACCCATTTCACCCCATCCCTGCTTCACCCCATATCTCCCTCACCCCACACAGCCCTCGCCCCATTCTCACATCACTCCGTACTCCCTGTCACCCCCTGCTCCTCCATCCCTGCATGTCCCCGGTCCCTCTGACACTGTCCCCTCTCTCCCCAGGCATCCCCGGTGGATAATGGCCCCCGTCTGCCCCCTCCGGAGCCAGTGCCCCTGTGCCTGGGCCCCGGGGGGCTGTATGTCCGGCGTGCCCCAGCCTGGCCCGCTGCATTCCCTGAGCCCTCGGACATGGAGCACTATGCAGAGGGTGTGGAGCAGGGCAGCCCCCGGGGACCCTTCATCGTGCCCCCTGCCCCGGCACACATCCTGCTGGAGGCTGGCAAGGACCCCAGCTTCCCCCGCATCACCGTGAGTGTCTCTGCCTGCTGTGGCATTGCTGGCTCCCCAGCATCCCCTGGGAGAGGGTCACAGATAGAGCCAGGGGACGGGCTCATGGCTCCATGGGACGGGCTCATGGATCCCTTGTGACCCTGGCGGAGTTCCCGGAGGGATTCTCAGTGTAGCTGGGGCCCCTCACATGCTGTTTAACCCTCTCCAGGTGCTGAAGCCCTACAAGGACAGCCCAGAAGTCCAGGGAAAGAAGGAGGCTCCTGGCCCGCAGCCCACAGCCCCCCTACCCTTCGGGGAGCCGTGCCCCGTGCCACCCCGAGATTACCT